CCCCAAAACCCCAAAACCCCAAAACCCCAAAACCCCTAGCTATGTATTTTTAATTTGATAGAGTAAAAACAAAATAATATTAAACGATAATATATTTATTATTTCGCGCCAAATCAAATGTCAACTACCGAAAAAGGTTAAAATATCTGCGGATCAACAGATCAGGATTATATCTTAGAGATAGAATACATTCTGTCTCATATAACAAATATGACTGAAAGAATGAAATCATAAATACTGCTATTGGGGTTAAACTCTACTCTTAGACTAAATTTGTAGGCTTAGATCAATATTCTTTAAGCAAAGTCAGATGTTCAAGCAAATAAAAAGTAAGTTTCTAATTTACTTCAAAGTAATGACTAATAATCTTTAGAGATCACATATTTGATTTAGCTGAAATGTACATGGAGATTTTCAATTGTTTTATAACTTTAGTTAGCAGGAGTTTGACATAAAAATTATTAAATGCTGTACTTTGTGTGATCTTAAAGAGCCTTGGAAGTTTTATTAACAAAATAAGTTTAAGCAATGAAGTACCAGTAAGGAATTATTTTTATTAAACAAATGTATAGATTGAAATTAAGATTTTAAAAACTTTTGTAAACATTGAAATTCTTTAATAGATAAGAACAATGAGTTTGAAAGATCAAATAAGTAACATTAGAGATTACATTCCTGTTGATTTGTAACAATAAACTTAAATGAAAATAACTGAATTGGTTGGAGAAATTGCTTCTTATAGCAGAGATTTTAATAATGATGTTAAATTCATGATCTAAAAAAAGATGGATTAGTACTTCACTAAATGTGACAATAATCTTAGAAATATTTTACTGTCTAAACTAAATGGCTCGCAATCAGGTGTTTCACTAGATTCAAATTCTTTATAAAATAGCGCCAAGTCCACTCCTATAGGTGGAAAGATAATGATGAGTGATTAAAAAGTAAAAGACATGTTTCATATAGGTCCTAAGAAGCGTAACTAAACTCAAAGATCATAGAGATTAAGACAGTAAGCCATAGAAAATGAGTTAACTACAACTACTCCATCTGAGAATTTAAATGATGACAGAGATTATAGTCCAAATGATGTAAATATGACAATGATTAAAAGCGATAACGAAGCATTATCTACACCGGAGCCTCTGCCAGTTAATCAATTCAACGAAGAGTAAGAGTAAGACCCTGAATCATAATAGAAAATGAAAAGGCAAAAAAATGATGACAGTAGAGAGACATTTAAGTAGAAGTCAAACAATGATCTATTTGGAAATTTAGGAGAAGTAAATGAAAAAGTTGCGAAAAACTAAGATAAAAATGTGCCAATGGTAGATCACGAAGAAAATTCAGAATTTTCTTTCAACGGGTAAATGAATTAAACCTCAAGTAAATCGAATAAGGACCTAGGCAAGAAATCAGACGAGGAAGGTGTTATAATTAAAGTAGATATTGAGAAAGAGGAAAAGTTAAGATAATTTATGAACTTAGATGGAGGTAACGATTCAATTCAATTCAGAGAGGATTGTAGCAGTTTCTAATATTCCAACTTTATGACGTAATAAGTAAGCTAAATGGAAAACAGAGTTTTATACCAGAAAATGGTTCAAAACCATCAAAGGGGTAACAGAAGACATCATAGATTACAGCTAGCATCTTCTTAAACTACTAGCACCTTTAATCCTAACAGAAATTCAAACTATAACTCTAGAACTAACTCAATTAGAGGCACTCCAATTAGCACTCCTAAGTAAACTCCAACAAAAAGAAGAAATAATATGGATAATTACTACTAACCCTCAAACAATTCTGAACTTCAAAGTTACTAACCATCCACAAATTTAGGAAGATTAACTTCTCCACATCAAGCAAGAAGATAGAACAACTAGACTAGAAACACTGAAATGATTTAATAATAAAGACCAATATAGTAATCTCCCAATAGTAGAGCTTAATCTAACAGTTTTATGATGCCATCTGCACCTCCCCAAAGAAGAGTTTAACCAATCTAGAATGTATAGGAAGAGAAGAAATATACCTCTGTCGAAGATCTATTTTGATTGATGCTGCAACTTAAAAGCTACTCTTAAATTATTGATATCTCTTTATATACTTTAATATTTATATGCATTTGTGTAGACATTCCATCCTGGGGTTTTGGGGTTTTGGGGTTTTGGGG